CTATTATTACATAAATAATATACTACGTAATAGTATTGATTCGTAGTTAATAGTAATATACTAATAATAATAATAAATAAATAATAATAAATGATAATAATAAATAACAGCGACTGAGTTTAATGCACCTCTTTATGTTTAAGTATGTTTTTTTATATTCATATTTAATATATTTTTTACCCTCCTATTACATTTTTTTAATAGTAGAGAATGTATCGGGATTCAATAGCACAGTTTTCACAATTTCACATAAGTATTACGAAAAAAAAACTTAATATATAAGTTTCTTATACAGCAACTTTTATATTAAATTATGAAAGTGTAATAAAAAAACCGCAAAGAGAGATATAATATTTTCTGATAAAAATTTTTTTTTAATTATTTTTTAAAAACATCTTTTAAAATTATTTTGTATAATCGATAGCAAACCGCTGTTGCAGAAAAACAAATGTGTATTGTAGATGTAGCTTGCTTCGATATAAAATATTAAACATAAAATGGTTTTATCAAAGTTAAATTGTAATTGAATATTTACACATTTCTTATGCGCACGATATAGTAAATTAAGCATTTTATTATAAAAACATACTATTGTTAATCAAAATTATTACTTTGAGTTATTATATTAGTAAAAGAAACTTTTTCTTTAATTAATAATATGTCACTTAAATTGCGATTAGCTAAAATTGAAAAACTTTTTTACGAAATTTTTAAATACTCAAAAATTTATTTAAATTCTCGTTTTAAATCAAATTTCTCCATTTTTTTATTGCAATACTTTATATAAATACTTGAAAAAAATATTTATGCTTAAAAAAAGGTATCTTGCAATAATTTTTTTACTGTTTCTTTTACATAAGTACATAAACGGAACGCAATGCCAACTTATTTCTCAACATACCCTGGCAAACGTATTAAAATATCTTAATAATTAAAAAATAAATAAGAAAAATATGTAAACAATCGAAAATTTCATCAACAGTATTTCATCAACAAAATTACACAATTTATTATATATATTTATATTAAATATATGCGCGGTAATATATGCAACAGGTGGCGAAATGTGTGTCGAATATCTACAAGATGTTAATATGTGAGAATATATTATGTTAATATCTCTCACTAATACTTGGATCGGATTTCTAATAGATTTTAGATAGTGGAAATTTAAATCACTGACTGAAAATGTCATATGTTTATTATATAAAAATTATATATTAAAAGTCACAAATTATGTAGAAATAATAAATAATAAAAAATAAGCATTAAATTTTACT